CCCCCCCCCCCAAAAAAAAAAATGGGAGGAGAAAACACAAAAGTCTGTGAGCTCCAAAGCTTGAATGAAAGTCAAGATTCCTCTTTCACGTTAAGTACTGGTGCAGGCCCCTCTGAAAAATGTCAGAATGGAGAGGGTCCTCCTATTTTTGCTAGTTTGCCGAGATGGTTGAATCTTCTGTCGGTGCCTGCGATGGGCTCAGTTTACCCAGTACCTTTCCCTCTCCTGTGGAGTACCCCACCCAACCCCCTCCTACCTACCTGTCCTGCTACTATACAAGGTTAAGCTGTATCAGTCCTAACGTGTCAGTGGTCTCTGTTTCCCATCGCAAGCCTGGCTGGGTTGCAAGAAATAGAAGCCATTATTGTTCCAAGTTCTCCAAGTTGGTCTCCAGGCAGAGACCTAGCATCCAGGGAGAAGCCTAAGGGCCCCAGTCTCTCTGGGCCCTTTAAAAGCTGTCACCAAATCAGCTCACTCCAGGGATCCTGTGTGTCTCTGACTCCATGATTCTGTAGAATCGGTCTCAACCTCAGCCAGAGGATAACAAGACAGCAAGTCCAGGAGCCAGCCCAAGTGCCACAATCCCTGCCATAACCCCAAGGCTTCCCAAGGATCATAAAATCTCCTCCAGAGTTACTCTAATCTAGTTTTTTGTCATCTTTCTCATCTTTACAATGCCCCTGCCCCGCACCCGACTCTGGTGTAAACGCAGCATTTTTGTAATAAGGAAGAATGAGTGAGAAACAACCAAAATGTCCACCAGGAGGGGAACTAAGGAAGTTAAGTGGTCAGATTCAAGCAACAATGAGGAAGTAAAATCAATGGGGATGGTCAGGATTCAAGGGTAGGGGACAGAGTATCAAAGATCATGCCCGTGTTTTTAACTTCTTCAACAGTAACTTTCCTAAGATAGTGTTAGGGGTTGAATTGTGTCCCCCAAAAATGTGTCAACTTGGCTAGGCCATGATTCCCAGTATTGTGTGGTTGTCCACCATTTTGTGATCTAATGTGGTTATCCTATGTATTGTTAATCCTAACTTCTATGATGCTAATGAGGCAAGATTAGAGGCAGTTATGTTAATGAGGCAGGACTCAATATACAGGATTAGGTTGTATCTTGAGTCAATCTCTTTTGAGATATAAAAGAATCAAGCAGAGAGGAGAGGGACCTCATTACCACCAAGAAAAAAGAGCCAGGAGCAGAGTGCATCCTTTGGACCCAGGGTCCCTGTGCTGAAAAGCTCCTAGACCAGGAGAAGATTGATGAACAGGACCTTCCCCCAGAGCCAACAGAGAGAGAAAGGCTTCCCCTAGACCTGGCACCTTGAATTTGGACTTCTAGCCTCCTAAACGGTGAAAGAATAAATTTCTCTTTGTTCAAAGCATCCACTTGGGGTATTTGTTATAGCGGCACTAGATCACTAAAACAGATAGGGAACAGTGGAGGAGGACCAGATTTGGGGGTGATGATTGTGCATTCTACCTTGAAGGAACTTCTAAGGGCTACACATAGATGTGCCATGTGGGCAGTAGACAGATGGTCTAGAGCTTAGAGAAGAAATCTGGGATGAAGACATAAATTTGGGGTAAGGGGGAGGTCATCTGCAAATACTGGGTGTAGACGAAGCTGCCAAGGGAGAGAGTACAAAGTTAAACAAGAAAAGGGTCTAGGACTGGTCTTTGAGGAAATGCAGTTGTATTTTTAACTGCTTTATTGAGGTATAATTGACACACAATAAACGGCACATACTGAAAGTGTACAATTTGATAAGTTTTGACATCTCAGTACACCTGAAGTCATCACTAAAATCAAGATAATGATCCTATCCATCACCCTGCAAAGTCACCTAATGTCCTTTTGGAAGCTTCCCTCCTCTCCCCACCCGTCCCCAGGCAATCCCTGATCTGTTTTGTCACTATAGAGCAGTTTGAATTTCCTGGAACTTTCTAGAATTTTCAAAAAAATGGAATCTTCCAATAGTATGTAGTCTTTTGGGATGGGGAGATCTGGTTTCTTTACTTCAATATAATTGAGTTTTATTCATGTTGTTCATGTATCAAAAGTCTATTCCGTTTTCCTTGCTGAATAGCTTTCATTGCAAGGATTTACCACAATTTGTTTATCCATTCACCAATTTATGAACATTAAAGTTGTTTACACTTTGGGGCTACTACAAATAACACCCCCCCCCCAAAAAAAAAAAAACACTGCCATTGAGTTGGCAGCCCCATAGGGTTTCCAAGGAGGTCTGGTGGATTCCAACTGCCGACCTTTTGGTTAGCAGCCGAGTTCTTAACCACTATGCCACCAGGGCTCCCTACAAATACAGCACCTATAAATATTTGTGTACAAGTCTTTGTTTGGACATATGCTTTAATTTATCCTGGGTAAGGACCAAGGCGTGAAATGGCTGGATCCTACCATGGATATATTTTAACTTTTAAAAAATTGCCAAATTGTTTTCCAAAGGGATTGTACCATTTCACATCCCCACCAGGAATGTGCAAGAGTTCAAGTTACTCCACCCCCTCATTCATATTTGGTATGGTCAGTCTCTTAAGTTTAGCTATTTAACTTTAGCCATTCTAACGGGTGTGTAATAATGTCTCATTGTGGTTTTAATTTTCATCTCCCAGTGGTGCAAACAGTCAAAGCACCCACCTGCTAACCAAAAGGTTGCAAGTTCAAGTCCTCAGAAGAAAGACTTGGCGATCCTTCGAGAACATCAGCCACTGACGACCTTATGGTGCACTGTTCTGCTCTGACACATATGGGGTCACCATGACTGGGAACAGACTCGACTACTCCTTTTTTTTAAGGATGGAACTACAACTTTTAGCAACTGGAGGAAAACTGAACTAATACAGGAGAGCCGAAGGAGCAGAGGGATGTGGGGAAACATCAGGGAGGTGGGGATTCGGAGAACTCAACCGAAGAAGTGACTCAGGAGCCTGTGATCAGCAGGGTCAAAGGATGCTGAGATGCTGATCAAAATCTCTCTGGGGTTTAGTGACATAGAGATCACTGGCGACTTTGTCCAGAGAATTTCCAGCAGCACCTGATTCCAGCTTCCAGCCTCTTTCCACATTTTGATCATGAGGATCATTGCACTGCCCACGGGGCGGCACCCTCAGGCCCTCGGACCCTCTGGGGTCTGAGTCCCAGCTTCGCAGGACCCTTCCATGAGCTCCTGAGGTAAAGCACCAGCTGGTACCTTCAAGCTTCAATTTCAAGTTTCTCAGGAGTGTCACAGGTTCGGTTCCCTGGGAAGCCAAATCTGAGATGGAGATCAGTGTGCAGAAGCCTTATTAAGGAGTAGTCTTGGATCACTACTTCTGGAAGAGAAGGGCAAGCAGGATTGGACAAGGAAGAAGGTGGGCTGTGATACAGCCCAACCAAGCGCCCTGCCAACCCCACATGGAATCTAAGATTGGGATGGCCCTGCAGCATTGTGCGCATTTGGGGCAAAGGCATCGAGACTTTATACCTACATGGACCAGTCACTGGTGGTAGGGGGGCGTGCTCTTGGGTGGGTCGACTTTTCCCCACTAAGAGCAATTCCTGGAAAGGAATGCGAGTGGAGGGTCATCGGCCAGCAGCTTATCTCCTTAGGTCTTGAAGAGGGAGCTAAGCAGCATACCGCAGTGTCCACTACAACGGTTTTCTCCTTCAAACTTCTAGCTTCTAATAATCCCAACCTCTTCCCTTAGCACCCCCACCTAGGAATGGAAGCCACTTCCTGCAGTTAAACCAAAAAACCAAACCCATCGCCATGGAGTTGATTCTGACTCATAGCTACTCTACAGGACAGAGTAGAACTGCTCCATAGGGTTTCCAACCACCGGCCTTTGTTAGCAGCCAAATTCTTCACCACCGTGCCACCCAGGCTCCTACCTTCTGCAGTTACTATCTCTAAATAACTTCTGAGCCTGCTTTGTGCCTTTTCTATCCTCTACCCCCTGGTGGGAGCCCTGGTGGCACAGTAGTTAAGAGCTCAGCTGCTAACCAAAAGGTAAGCAGTTCAAATCCACCGGGGGCTCCTTGGAAACCCTATGGGGGCAGTTCTACTCTGTCCTATAGGGTCGCTGTTGAGTCGTAATTGACTCAACGGCAACGGGTGGTTGTTTTTTTGTTAAACCCTAGTTAAGCAATTCATTATACTAAACCCTCTAGCGCTGCTCGTTTTCCTCCCTGGACGCTGTCTGACCCACTTCTCAACCCAGAAGACTCCAAAACTGTTAGCGAGGGCAGGTTAGGGGTGAGAAGCCCACCCTTTTCACTGACTCTGTAGCCTACTGATCACACATTATCTGAAGAAGTCAGTTTGGGAAATATCAGGATTACGTCTTGCTTTCTGCTCACACACGCGTCTGGAGCCATCTGAAAACACCGACGTCTTGGTACAGAAATCAGGAACGAAATAATCCGTGAAATGTGCTCTGTGCCCTGCGAGTGGGCGCCCTGCAGCAGGGAATACACTTGCATTCTCCGAGCCCCGAGGAGCCCCAGTGCAATCCAGTGGATGCATTTCGGACATGTTAATGCACTAGACGGCTGCCTCGTGATGAGAGTGTTAACACAGTCACAGCCTGCATGTCTAACATTGTGTAGAAGGGACTCAGGCTCAGGGAGAACTGGGTAAAAAGCACCATGAATGGGTACTGAAGGGGCAAGCATGAGTCCACGATTTCTTCCTTCCGTTTTTCAGACAGCACCGAACCTGATCCGCAGAAAGACTGAAACGCTAGCGACCAAGCTCCACGGTTGCTTCTCCTCCAGCTCAGTGCACCCTGAAGGAGCAGATCTCGCCCATCAGTCCAGCGTCCGTCACAGCAGTTATATGCAGTCACACTGGTTTAGGGAGACGTGTCTGAACTACAGGTCCCCGGCTCTCATCACCAGCCCGGTAAGAAGTGACCAGAATACAAAGCCACGTCAGTCATTCAGGGCACATTTTATTAACACAGAAAGGCCACGATTCACCTCATTAATCCCACCCGGGGTGTTCAGGGCCCAGGAGGCACCACTCACGCAGCGCACCACGAACCTGATGACAAGGAAGATGCAAAACACCATGGGCACCGAAAACTCCCCACTGACGACAAGTCTTCCCCCAAAAAGTATTAAAGGCTTCAAATACATGTACAAACCTAAAATACGTTACATTTCTTAACATTAAGACTCGGTGTATTTCTTTTAAATATGCATTAAAATATACGGGGCATCTCTCCTAGTTCCAATTCTCAGATTATCTCAAGAAGCCCCTTGCTCTGTTTCTCTCTCCACCTCCTGTCCTTCTTGCTGTCCTTGAGCAGACTGGGACGCTGGACAGACGCCCAAGGTGATGGCTACAATGTGTCCTGTGTGGCCCTCTTGTGCTGCCTCCGGAAGTGGCCCTCACTGCCGAGGGACGCCTGCTTCTCTCTGCGTGCTGTGCTGGTCTTCCCAGCAGTTTCAATCCAGGGGTGCTGCAGAACCTGGTGGGCCGTGTAGCGCTTTTTAGGGTCTACCACCAGCAAGCGGCTCACCAGATCTTTGGCAGCTGTCGGAGTGAGAGAAGGGGAGGAACATGAGATGAACGCAGTAGCTCTGCATTTTTCTTACCCAGACATGAAATAAGAACACAAACATCCAGGTCGGCAACCAGGGGTCGGCTAAAAGGCTCTTTCGTATTCCAGAGCAGGACTGTCTGACAGAATTTTCTGCAATGACGGAAATATTTCATATCCATGCTACCCACTTGTAGCTACTGAGCATTTGAAATATGCAACTGAGAAATGGAATGTTTAACTTCATTTACTTTTAAATGTAACATCCCGGTTGCCATTGAGTCGATTCTAACTCATGGCGACCCCACGTGCTCCAGAGGAGAACTGTGCTCCTTAGTGTTTTCAACAGCTGTGATCTTTCGGAAGCAGATCGCCAGGACTTTCTTCCGAGATACCCCTGGGTGGGTTCGAACCACCAACCCTTCAGTTAGTAGTCGAGCACTTACCCATCTGTGCCACCCGGGGATTCCTTAGTTTTTCATTAGTTTACATGTAAATGTAGACAGCCATGTGGTGGCTAATGGTTACCATGTGGGACGGTACAGCTCCAGATGTTTGTTCATTTCTCCAGAGTCACGGGGCCAGGCCCATCTTTAACATCCACAGTATCCAAGGTAAAAGAATAAACAGAGACTCACGTACCATATGCCTACATATTTGAAAGCTTTAAATCAAACTAACGAGTTGTTAAATAAAATATATTCCATCCTAAGCTGATAAACGGAAACCCTGCTGGCGTAGTGGTTAAGAGTTTGGCTGTTAACCAAAAGGTCGGCAGTTCGAATCCACCAGCTGCTCCTTGGAAACCCTACGGGGAAGTTCTACTCTGTCCTATAGGGTCGCTGTGAGTTGGAATTGACTTGACAGCAACGGGTTTTGGTTTTGGTTTAAGCTGACAAATATGCCTTCATATTAACACAATTAAAAAATGTGTAAAGACACCAAATTAGTATAAACAGCACAAATTCAAAATTAATTTCACTTTCTGCCCAAGACCATGACCAGTGCTGGGGAGAGGTGGTGACAACTGGGGGCCAGGGGGCAGGCGGGGAGGGAAGGACCGCTCCCTGGCTTGCTGGCTCTCCCAGCCAGGCTCTCTGGACCTCCTCTTCCAATCACTCGAGAAATTCACAGGAAAAACCCCACTTCTGCTTTAGCTTCACTGCAGGAGCCCCCTGCGTTCCCCACTCAAGATCAGTGCTCAGCCAGCAATCACTCCCTCCCCTATGGCCACTGTCCAGCCACTTCTTGAGCATTGAGGCTACAAGGCTTCCCCTACTTCCCAGTTCAAACTGGGCAAATTCTGCCCACAAAGTGCCCCTGGCCCCAGCTCCCCCAGTATCACTCTTCAAGGTCCATGAAGGACTCAAGAGTCCGGAAGGTCAGACTCAATGTACCTGTGTGGACAGTGTGGACACCCCAGCCAGCATGTCCAAACTCTCTCCACAATCCCCACCCCTCCAGAGCCACTCCTTGGCCACCCTGCGGCACGGGAAGACGCAGCTGGGAGAAGAGATCTCACAGGCTCGGAAGTGGGCTTGAGCCATTTGGGCAGGGAATTCTGGGGTCTCGGAGAAGTGGTCTAGAACGGGAGACCTCGGCTCTGGGGCACACCCCACCGGCCCCACTGTCTCCTCGCTCTGTGGGGAGGCGTGTAGCCAGGGCAGGGCCCTCAAAGGCCTGGGGCCCAGGGCAAGGCCCCCTGCCCAAATCTAAAGACACTGCTGCGTGGGACTTTCTAAAGCAACATGCAGGTCTTCATTTCTCAGGCTGCCGCCCCCTCGATGTGCTCAAGACGCTCACTCTCCCTGCCTTATTTAAGGGAGGCGAAATGAAGGTCTTCTCTCCTCTCCCCGCCAACCCCAAGTGAGACTAGGGATGGGGGCAGCTCAATGCCAATCTCAGATGACATGCTTGGGGGAAACTGCGAGAAAGGAAAAAAAAAAACAAAGCTATCACCCCTATTCTACTTTTAAAGTTAAAGACTCAAAAAAAAAAACCCTAAGTAGTTGTTATCAAGTTGATTCCAACTCATGGAGACCCCATGTGTGTCAGAGTATAACTGTCCATGGGGTTTTCAAGACTGATCTTTCAAAAGCAGTTTGCCAGGCCTTTCTTCTGAGGCACCTCTGGGTGGGTTTGAACCGCCAACCTTTTGGTTAGTGAGCGAGTGCTCAACCATGTGAGCCACCCAGGGACTCCCAAGGCTCAAAACCCGCAGTTATCAAGTTCTCGGTGTCACAAGAGCAATGGGAATGCAGACAAGTCAGCAGAAACTAAGGAAAAGACTCCATTTGGCAAAGGATGCTACATGCTCCCACCCCGCTAAGAAGTCACTGAGACCTCCGCCCCGTCCCTTCCAGAGCCTAGCTCCAAGCAAGCCTCGCTTGGCCTCTGATTATTCATTTGTAAAATAAGCATTTTCCACTTGTTCAATTCACAAACACTTCTGTATAGGAGACGGCTTTTCTATTTCCAAATGAGAGATCTCGGCTTCTGCTATTTTTCAATTCTAAAGTTCCTTAACTGCATTAAGGAAAAGCATGTGGTGACTGCAACCGCTGGTTAGACTCTTCATTAAACCTCAAAGCAAGTCACGCTCTCAGAGCGCTACACACATACGTGAGGCTACTGAGGAGAGAAAGGACGAGGTGTGACGGGCCGACAGCCCCACTACCCGCCAGGTACCGTGCTGGGCAGGCTTCGTGTCTTATTTCACGTCTGACCTGGAAACGCAGAAGGCAGCCTGCCCTCCATCCCCTCCCCTCCTGCCGACAGAAGCCCCGAATCTCACCATCGGAGATGTTGTCCCAGTAAGGGGCGAGGAACTCGAAGCGGCCCAGCTGGATGATGTTAAAGAGCTCATCCTGGTCCCTCTCTGGGCTGCGGAAGGGGGGGAAGCCACACAGGAGGATGTAGAGGATCACGCCCGCAGCCCACATGTCCACCTCCAGCCCATAACCTGCACCACGGAGGCAGAGAAGACATGTGAGGCTGACAGCAGGCTGGGTTAAGACTTGACAAGACAAATCACAGACAGTCTTAGCTCTAGGTCTCAGATAAAAAGATGGCGGCCCTCAGGAAGCAAGAACCACTTCCAAACTCAGGGGTTGGCTTTGCTGCCCAATCACACCCCTTTGCTGCCACCTCTCACAAACATGGGGTCTACCCTACACCAGTGTTACCCAAAGTCTGGTCCACAGACCCCCACCACACTGTGATCTATTACTGGTCTGTGATCAAATCAGCGGAGCAATTGCAAGTAAGCATTCAGAAACTCCTAGGGCAATGTGATATGGCGTGACAGCCAAAGGCATGATCCAGGGACTCGTCTCACTGAACAGGGTGACATCGAGCGGCTGTAGTTTAAGTCACGTGTGATGCGAGCTGTGTTCTAGGCACGTGCAGTAAGACCACATACTGGTCCATGCTCTACTGAAAATTTTAAAACCTGGCCCTTCACCAGAGATAGTTTGAGAAGCCCTGGTCTATCCCAGCAATCTCTACTTCCTATCCATTAACTGCTTTCTCTCTCATTTTAAAAATATCATTTACTGGCTTTGTAAAATAATTATAAAGAGACTGATGTGTACAAGCTGTATCCCCCCTCCACACATACAGACACACACGTTTATACTTTAACAAAATTGGGATCAGACTGTACATATTTTTATAGTCTCTCTTATTCACTTAATATTACATCATGGTATTTCCTATATAAAAAATAATTTTCAAAACATAATTTCTAGTGACTGTTACTATTTCCTTTCAATAGTGAATCCCCTATGTTGGATTTAGCTTTTTCCTAATTTCTTGCAACCGTAATTCTGTGATGAACGTCCTCATGTATTAAATATTTGTACACATCTCTGATTTATATTCTTAAAATAATTTTGTGCGAATGAAAATGTACAAAGTAACATACAGCAAAGGTTTTCGATACATATTATCCAGTCAAACCCCAGCAAAGTCATAACAGCAGCATATGAATCTTCAAACACTTGCTAAAGCTTTTTATCTTTAAGGAGGAAAAGCATGTGGCAGTTTTCATTTGGAAGTTAGATATTCATTAGTAAGCCCACAGTAAGTTTATGGAGACACAAATCAGCAGGAAAAAATTAAGGGAATAATTGCAGACGACCTCTCTCTGGCCAATTCTGATGGCCTTTTCTCAGTTCCCAACCATCTTTCCCTCTTGGGAAGCTCTGATTTTGCACCATGTAAATAAGCATCCCTGGAAGACTCTGCTGGGCCTCCCCAGCTTCTTGAAGTTCACCCCTCAGCCCCTGTGACACTGGGTTTTCCTGATCCTCTTCCAGGCTGGCCTGTCCTCTGCTGACCCTTCCTCCTCATCCCCTAACTCCTGGTCTCCCTCCAGAGTCCGTCCTTGGCTGTCCTGCTGGCATCACCAAGGAGCTTATCATCTTACCACTTCAGCTACCACCTCTGGGTTGAGCACTCTCAAAACCACACGTTCAGCCCCGGCCTGTAACCTCCCTGCCAACTGGACACCACCACGTGTCCACCTGCTATCTCTACAAAGCTAGCACGTTCAAAATGTACTCACCCATCATCATAACCCAAAACAATACTGCTTCTCAACATGCTATTTTAGATGTGGCTTCCCTAAGAGTTCATGTCAACTATTTGCTTCCCTTCTTCTCTTAGCCAGTTCACCAATGCCACCATTAAAATGTCTTATGGTCCCTCTGTATTCTCCCCCACCCAGTGTCACCACATCCAGTCCAAACCCCTCTACCCAGACTTCCCATTTGTGGGGAATCTAGTCTCAACCTACTCAACTGTGTTGGTGGTGTTGTTAGGCGTCATTGAGTTGGTTCTGACTCATAGTAACCCTACATACTACAGAACGAAACACCGCCTGGTCCTGCGCCATCCTCACAATCATTGTTATACTTGAGCCCACTGTTGCAGCCACTGTGTCAATCCATCTTGTTGAGGGTCTTCCTCTTTTCTGCTCACCCTCTACTTTACCAAGCATGATGTCCTTCTCCAGGGACTGGTCCCTGCTGATAACATGTCCAAAGTATGTGAGATGAAGTCTCGCCATCCTTGCTTCTAAGGAGCATTCTGGCTGTACTTCTTCCAAGACAGATTTGTTCCTTCTTCTGGCAGTCCATAGTATATTCAATATTCTTCGCCAACACCATAATTCAAAGGCGTCAATTCTTCTTCGGTCTTCCTTATTCACTGTCCAGCTTTCGCATGCATATGAGGCGATTGAAAACACCATGGCTGCACAACCAACTGTACTTCCCTCCATTCCCTTGAGGTGAGTCTTCTCAACATCTCTGCCTCCCAACCTCCACACGTTTTAATCTCAACTTACCTTCCCCGATGCTTCCACTGCCAGGAAACGATCCCTCCGCTCTCCCTACATCACCCCTACAGCCCATTCAGAGCCTTCCCATCTTACCGAGGGTAGGTAAACTGATTTCTCCTGAAGTCCAGCAGTAGCCATTCACTTATTTGGAGCATTATAAAAATAAGTGATTTCCTTTTTACACATTCTGCAGAATATGGAAACCCTCGTGGCGTAGTGGTTAAGTGCTACGGCTGCTAAACCAAAGAGTTGGCAGTTCGAATCCACCAGGTGCTCCTTGGAAACTCTATGGGGCAGATCTACCCTGTCCTACAGGGTCGCTATGAGTCGGAATCAACTCAACGGCAACAGGTTTGGTTTTTTTTGGTGTGTAGAATATGTCACTAAAACAGTTCGTTGGATCTTCACGCAATACACAAACCAGATAACCAACGGCATTCGTGGGGTTTGAAATGGGTCCCCATTTAAATACAAGGTTGGCAGAAGAATTTTTAAACCAGTTACCATCATGACTGCTTCAATTCTTTCCCATCAGAGGTGGCCTTGGGTCAATGGCACAAACCCAATTCTCCACCATCTTGCATTTTGCTGTCCTGCCCAACACACAGAAACACAAACACACGTATACACACCACAACCCCAGGCCTGATGAAGAAAAAGTTCTCCTGTTTGGGTCAAGGAAGCCTGTTTCAAGTATTTTCACTGAAGTCCAAGTCCATGGCTTAGACCAACTCTGAGATTATTTACTGCTCCATATTGAAAAAATATAAAATATTAAACATAAAACATCTGCTAGTAAGTGAGCGAGAGCCCCACCAAGTGATAATGTAGCACTTACCTTTCTCAGAAAGAATTTCGGGAGCTACGTAAGTCGGGGTCCCACACACAGTAAATATGGGTCTCACCACAAGCTTTGCCAGACCAAAATCGGCTAGTTTCAGGGTGGTAGATTTGTCCTCATTTCGCTGAACCTGTAAGGAACACAAATCCCCAAACCAACAAAACTGTGATGAGAACAAAGAAGGAAAAGTAACAAGACAATCAGTAGGCAAGTTCAGGATAAGCAAACAATAAACCGATACAAGCTTACAGTGTAGCCCAACGCGGACAAATACAGCTCAATCTCTGAGAGGTGCCCTCATTTTCAACTAAAGAACAAATGAGTTAGATTACCTGTGACGTCCATTGTGGTAACCACTGGTCACAGGTGGCTGTTCACATTTACATGAATTAAAATTAAGTTAAAAATTCCGTTCCTCAGATGCACTAGCCGCATTACAAGTGCTCGGGAGCTCAGTAGCGGCCAGTGGCTACCATGCTGGACCGCTCAGATAAAGAACATTTCCACCATTGCAGAAAGTTCTGTTAGGCAGCACTGAGTTCAAACAAGAGTTAATGATCTTTTGAGCACAGACCAGCTTTACTGAGAACTAGAAAATACCTGTGGATAATGAAATGCATAGGCTGGGAAGAGGAAATAAAAGAAAAAAAAAAAAGAACTGAAAATTAGAACGAAGAAGAGGCAGACAAAAAAGCAATGGAGGGATGTTAAATACTGGGCCCTAATTTGGGGAGGAAGGAACCCTGGTGGCGCAGTGATTAAGTGCTCAGCTGCTAACCGAAAAGTTGGTGGTTCAAACCCACCAGCCACGCCAAGGGAGAAAGATGTGGCAGTCTGCTTCCCAGGGGTGGGTTACCCAACAAGCAAGCTCCGCATGGGCCCAACTGTACCTTCCCACCAATCTGCAGTGCACAACTTCACCTGTCCCCCACCATGTCAGAGACCTGGTAAAACTCAGGTGAAATTGCTCACCACAGATTAGCAAGTGAATACAATGAACCCCAAGCTTATCTTGCTCAAAGCGAGCCAGTGCCTACCACGCTTACTGGTTAATCTGCCCCTGCTGCTTCCATAAAGATTACAGGCTTGGAAATCTTTGCATGTTAGCCGATTTCTAGGAAAAATTAGGTCTTAACATAAAAGAACCAATAGGGTACCTGGGGGTGGGAACTGACAGTTGCGGGTTGGATTTTTTGGTTAATGTAAAAGAAATGAATCTCAGCGGTGAGCTTGGCAAGCATTAGGTCCCCATGACAGAAATAATAAAACTGCACTTCACACCCACTAGAATGGCTATTAGGCACCTACCTGGGTGGCACAAGCGGCTTTCGATCGGCTACGAACCAAAGGGTTGGCAGTTCAAACCCAGTCAGCGGCTCTGTGGAGGAAAAGGCCTGGCGATCTGCTGCTCTAACGATTACAGCCAAGTAAACCTTCTAAGTCCCTCCTTGCTGTCTCTTCCTGGAAGCGCAGTTAGCCAGGCAGTGCTCTGAGGATCTTGGCCCACACAGCAGCAATGTCCCCAGGGACACAGCCACCCCTCCACCTGGAGGGACCACTCCTGGACCCACCACGGCCTGAGAGCTCCATGGCTAACGCACTTTCTACAACAGCAACATGGCGGCACTCAGGGTGGAGAACGCCGTGACGCTGCCCCCTGCAGGCAGGAGGCCCCTGAACTGACCACACCCTGGCTGACTTGGGCTGTTTGCTTCTGACTCTCTTGCAGGCCTGTGGATGAGGCTGCCTCACTTCCTGTGACTGAGGTAACTCTTTAGTCGAAGAGTCAGCATCATGTACTAGTTATAATGACAGACTCTGAAGCCTGACTGTCAGGGTTCAAATTCCAGCTCACTGTTTACTATGAAACTGGGCAGGTAATGCCCTTTCTGTGCCTCTGTTTCCCCAGGTGTGAGAGAGGGACGTGAATGACTTACCTTTTGGGGCTATTGTGAGGATTAAGTGAATTAATATTTGTAAGGAGTCAGGAACTATGCCTGGCACTAAAAAGCACTATATAAGCGTTATTAAATAAACTATATTTAATTTTAGCCTCTGTGGTGCAATTAATTACTTTTGTGTGTGGCCTTTCTAGCCGTGGGCTTGTAACTTGCCCAGGTGATTGTATGATAGGGTAGTTATGGCCTACCAAGGGGATTGGTCAGTTTTGCCTTAAAAGAGAGCCAATTCCAGAGCAGGGAGGGGGAGCTTACCACCAAGGAAGGGGAGATTAGCGTGGTGGGCTTCCCATCCCACGGAGAGAGAAAGCTGAGTGACTTTGGGCAGAGACTGAGGGCCAGGGAGAGGTATGCCTGCAAGCACGGCTGGGAAGAGGCTATCCTGATGGAAGAGCTGTATCCTGAGTGTTCTTGAGCCTGAATTGTGACTGTTACTTCCCTAATAAGCCCCATAATCGTGAGTGAGGTCTGTGAGTTCTGTGTGGCCATTGCAGTGAATCATTGAACCCAGCAGAGAGTGCCGTGGGGGGGGACGGTTGGTGTCGAACTGAAAGAGATGGCAGAGAGAGGAGGCGTGTCTGACCCCCACCTCACAGGAATCAGCCTTGGGCTGTCCACCTTGGTTCTCCTTCCCCCTTATGGGGCTGGAGGAGGTCAGACACTGCCCCCATGCCATTTTTACAGCCTCCATAATAATTTGACCTCTCAAGAGCAGAACTGACTTCATGTAAAGTAAGTACAGAAAGCTGGCCTCTGATATCTTTCTCCTCCCCATTCAGGATCTTCTCATCTCATCCAAACGGAGAGGGCTACTGTGGTTCATTGGTAGGATTTTCACCTCCCACGCAGGAGACCCAGGTTCGATTCCTGACCAACGCACCTCAGGCACAGCCCCCACCCATCCGTCAGTAGAGGCTTGGGTATTTCTCTGATGCTGAACAGGTTTCAGCGGAGCTTCCAGACTAAGACGGACTAGGAAGAAAGGCCTGGAGATCTACTTCTGAAAGTCAGCCAGTGAAAACCCTATGGATCACAATGGTCTGATCTGCAGCCCATCATGGGGGCAGCGTAGGACCAGGCAGTGTTTTGTTCCCTTGTGCAGGGGGTTGCCATGAGTCGGGGGACCTACTCCACAGCAGCTAACATCATCCAGGCCGAAGTCCCCGACATGGCCTATCCCCGGGTATCCAGAAGCCCCCACTCAGGCATGGGCCGGGTTCAGTCTCCACAGACAAAGCTCCAACTCCTACTTATCTAGTGTCGCGTACCGAAGCGGGTTGCTCTGGTCAAAGGTGAACCGAGCAGTTGATTAGAGCACCATGTGAAACATGTCCAGGATAAGCCTGGGCGATCTCACTCCAGTGAGAAACTCTTTGGAGCCACCAGAGCTTTAGGAGAAATGATCAACTTGGCTGCAGGCACGCGCCCTCATCCTCAGCCCTCTGCTGGAACTGGTGCCAAAGTTCCCACTGCCCCCGGAAGCCGTGGGATGCGGGAAGGCCACGGGGAGGGCCCTGTTCCATCAGAACCACGGGCACAGCAATACCCGGAAGTGCACGGCAAGGCAGCCGTTTCTCCTGTGTCCCCAGAGAAGGTGAAGTTCTCCACACCGCTTTGGTCCCTGAGAGCGTGCTTACGTCTCTGCGGGAGAAAGAGGCTTAATTACGGCATCTGAGTCACCTGCAGGGCAACCTAATCGATGTCCTCCACAATTAACCTCACTGAATAGAAAGTCACAGACTTAGAACTACAATGCAACTCTGCTTCGGCCTGCATATCAAGGCAGGCACAGCCCAAAAGCGGACAACATGGGCAATTATCCCAATTATCTGGGCTAGAAAATCTAGCTTGGAAGGGAAGGGGGAAAAAACAGTGCAGCATCTAGAGTTTCTGGGTGAACCATGTATATTAATCACATTCGCTGCAGAACTGCTGAAAAAACATATCTGCCCCAAATATTTGTAAATGTTCCCAACCAAATGATCAGCGTTGAAAGCGTATGGCTGGCTGGCTGACAACCAATGTCACAAGCCAATCTGTGTATCGATCGTTTAACGAGAAACTAATTTGCTCTGGAAACTTTCTCCTAAAGCACAGTAAATAAATAAAAATAAAAGCATTCGGCTGATTTAACACGCCAGAATAGAATACAGTCACGCGCTGCATAATGTCCGTTCGGGCAACGTCCAACCGCGTATACACCCGCGGTCCCATGATGTTATAATAGAGTTCAGAAATCCTGATCAGAGAACAGGACGTAACACACGTAACAGCTTCGACACACAGCACAGGTATCTCACGTCTCCTGTAGACCGGCAGTCCCCGGGTTATGAACGAAATCTGTTCCTAAGTTTGTCTTTACGTTGAATGTACGTAAGTCAAACGGGTACATATGGTTCTTATTTAGCGTCAGTCTAAGGTCTTAGCGTATAGCATGTATTTTACCTTTCTGTGCATATGAAACAAACACTTCCAAACCGTGCAATGTTTTTGTCTTAGTCGTCTAGTGCTGCTCTAACGGAAATACCACAGGTGGATGGCTTTAACAAAGACAAATTTATTCTCTCATAGCCGAGTAGGCTACAAGTCCAAATTCAGGGCATCAGCTCCAGGGGAATGCTTTCTCTGTTGGCTGTGGAGGAAGGTCCGTGTTATCAGTCTTCCGTTGGTCTGGGAGCTTCTCTGCACAGGAATCTCAGGTCCAAAGGATGCGCTCTGCTCCCACCACTGCTTTCTTGATGGTATGAGGTCCCCATGTGTCTCTGCTCACTTGTCTCTTTTATATCTCAAGAGATTGGCTGAAGGCACTATCTAATCTTGTAGACCTCGTCAGTACAACTGCCGCTAATCCATTTTATTACATCACAGTGATTGAATTTACAACACATAAGAAAATCACATCAAATTACAAAATGGTACACAATCATACGATACTGGGAATCATGATCCAGCCAAGCTGACAGACATTCTAGGGGGACACAATTCAACCCATGCAGTTTTCATGAGTATCACAAGTAGTGTGTGCTTTCGCTATTACAAACCACTGTATTTCACTCCAATTTTTGATACAGTAGTCTTTATGGCAGTCCGTTCTTACATACAAGCTGTCTGTACATCAGCCGTTCCTAATCCGGGGACTGCCTATAATCTGGTGTTCACACAACATCCAAAT